TCTTCAACTTCCAGTGCTGGATCTTCAGCTTCCAGTGATAGAGCTTCAACTTCCAATGATGGTCTTCAATTTCCAATGATGGTCTTCAGCTACCACTGATGGTCTTCAAATTCTAGTGTTCTTCCCGGTGAGAAACTCAGTCTCACAAAATCGAGAACTCGTTCCAATTTTCTTTCTCATTCTAATACTTTTTATGGACAAATATGAAAATCCTGGCAGTGTTACCTGCTTTACTCATGACACTAGACTTTCCGGGTGTCGTCCAGTGAGAACACAACGAACTGTAATGGGAGCTTCCATGGCCTTTGCTATCTGTCTTTCCCATGTACTACCATGTACTTCTCCGTCTAGGCCTAAAGAAAAGAAAAAAACATGATCTAAAACTGGCAGAACTTTCAGCTGCTCTGATGTGGAGAAACTAAAGAAATATAAAGTAAAAACAGCACAAAAGTGCAATTTAACAAAAACAGTCTATAGGAGTGATGTGAAATGTAACTGGGATATAATAATGTTGAAAGATTGTAAGTGGAAAGAGGATAGTAGTGTAACTATGACATCTGCAGTTGATGTGAGTCTGGCTCAAAACAAGAGATCTCAGATCAGTAATGAAGTTCTAAGACAGTATTTATACCTGCTTCCAGGACTGGAGCATGGACTACTGCCACACAGCAATAGCCTTATATAAAGTATTCGAATAACCTTTATCTGAAAAATATTCAGAAAAACATTATTGCTTGTATCAGTCCAATACCTAAGATGCTGAGAAAGATTTTCAAATGTGTTAAATTGTCCTTCCTGGAAGACAGGCAGCAAACTTGTATCTTGTTTTACATTTAAAAGAGGCTGGTCAGACTGGCCTAAGGGAAAGCCCAAGTGCAATATAGGTCAGAAACAAGCCAGCAGTAATGAGGGGTCCAATATGCTCCACAGACTCTCTTCACTTAGAGAATAAAAAGTCACAATACCGTGACTGGGACAATGCACGAATAACCCGCACGTAGGAGACTAAAACTTACGACGACTTTACTGTCCGACTTCGACTGAAACGTAATTAGTTAATGATCCGAGTCGGACCGAAGCGTCGTCACAAGATTCAGTCTCGTACGCGCAGGTTATCTGTGTGTGTGTGTATGAAGAGAGAGAGAGAGAGAGAGAGAGAGAGAGAGAGAGAGAGAGAGAGAGTGAAGGAAAGAAAGAGAGAGAGATCTGTTGCTCCCGACCTAGTTTGTTTTCACAAGCTAAGAGCTGTTATTCTACATCAGTTTTTTTTAAGCAATGACACTACCCAAGCTCGGCCGGGGGATTCAGTCCATGACCTTTAGGAAATCTGCTGACAAACAAGAACACGTAACAAAACATTACTGGACGACCTTCCACTCAAGTGTGAGGACTGACCCCTTAAGTGTAGTCCCAGGTGTGAATTTCCTCAAGTCTGCCTCAGCTATCAGCTGTCAGGTGTGAGTTGCCTCAGGTGTCAGATGTCAGGTGTGAGCTGCTGCAGGTTAGAGCTGCGTCATCTGTGTGTTTCCTCGTAAAGGAATGTATCCTCTCAAGGCTGGCCTTGATAGTGTTTATTTTCCCTCCAACGGTATTGTGATGTGCTCCAATATTATTCCCGAGAGTTTCCAGCAGAGATTACATCGTGGAGCTCTTAAAGAGCTTAGATTCATTGTAAGCTCTTGTGGGACGTCAGAAGAGACGTTTGACTACTCACAAGCAGCACAGTAGAGGCTGGGTGAAGGCACGAACTCACTACATTAGTGAGAAAAACAATACGAAGATTGCAAAACAACATTTCCCCGAAACAACGTTTCAGCCTGTGAAGTGCTTTGCACAGAGCGAAACGTTGCGTAAAGAGTAGCATTTTGAACCAACTGTCTTTTCTGCAAGGGAGGCTGACGAGACTCAATAGGCCTATAGTTCTCTCAACAGCAAAAGAATCATGGTAAGCTTGGCTTCTAAACCTTAACACACAGCTACCACTTGCAAAATTAGTACTTAACATTCTCAATATACTTTATTCGACGGTACTGATGAAGTGGTTTTGATATTAAAGCTAATTTATTCCTGCGCTGAAGAGCTTTGCTTATTCTTCTTGCGATAGGAGATACAATACACCTATTTTGAAGACAAGCTTTTCTTAATATTTTCAAGAATTGGGTGTGTTCGTGATTTTTTGTAAAAAAGAAAAAAATATTACCCCACTGGTCATTTCCCAAGAAGGAAGAGCGACCCCCCTCCCCCCCCCCCCCAAAAAGAAAATACTTCCTTATTATTGTTGTAAGTTGTTTGCCTTTCATTTAAATAAGTTCCAATACCCATGAGCAAAGAATCAAATGCTTCACCAAGCAGCGAATCAGGAATCGAGATCGTTATTTCAGAAATGTCGAAGCTGATTCCCTACCTCGAACATTCTAGCAGTTATAGCGAACCGTAGTGCGGTGCCGCAGACCATAGTGAAGAAAGCAAGGTGTTGCCGGGACAACGTTCCTCTCTGTTAGAGGACAAGGTAGCAGCTCTGCAGAGTAGTTTATCCTCGTTGGGGTCGCGGCGTAGTGCATGTTTGTACCTCGTCAGAGTCACAGTCAATCCTAAAAGTTTTCTTCAGAGTGCAACAACGCACGCTAAACACCATGCAGTCATTACAGTGCATGCTGAGTGCTATATATATAGGTATATATATATATATATATATATATATATATATATATATATATATATATATATATATATATATATATATATATATATATATATATATATATATATATATATAATAATATATATATATTAAAATATAATAATATTAAATATATATATATATATATAATATATATATATGCATAGATCACAGTTAAACAGGTGATTTAAAATTGCAAAACATCACTGTGAAGAGTAGTGAATTCAAGCGCTTTCGTGACTACTCACTTTCATAGTTCCTTGACAATGTGAGTAGTCACGAAAGCGCTTGGAATTTCACTACTCTTTAAAACAGTGTTGTTTTGCATATATATATATATATATATATATATATATATATATATATATATATATATATATATATATATATATATATATATATATATATATATATAATTTTCTCTTATACGTTTAAAGATATATCTTTTCCATTGATGTTAATGCAAAAATTAATAATTTTGTACCAAAAGAACCTTAGAAAACTTACCTAACCTTATTATAACAAGCGAAATTTAACTTAGCCTAATCCAACTAAATATATTTTAAATAAGTTTACAGTAATTTAATAAAAAAACAAACACAATGAAATTATTGTATACTCAAATTTTCGCTTGCCTTATTCGGCAAGAAGAGCGTTGCTATTTAAGCCAAAATCGCAAGTTTTACCTATTCGGCACGACATATATATGTGAAGATGTACAAGGTTAGTGGTGTTATGTTGAAGATTATGAGTAGTAGTAGTAGTAGTAGTAGTAGTAGTAGTAGTAACTGCTATAACCTACGTTATCTTAACCTAACTTTACCTACCCTGATGAACCTTAGCATAACATAATCATGTTAACCTAACCAACCTAACCAAAAGTACACGGGAAGCAAAAAATAGGCTAGCATCTGTGCAATGAAATGCAACATACTGACTTAAGAGAGACTGATAGGGAAAAGCAACAGCTAAAAGAAACAGGAGGTTGTCAGGAAGGATGATCCAGGCGAAGCAACAGTCAGTTGTTGATGCTTTTGTGCAAAGTGTATTGCACTATGCTGGACTCTTAACTCTGACCTCTTGAAGACATTGGCTCTCGTTAAATGCTGTAACCCCTCGTCTTGCGATGCTGTAACCCCTCGGCTTGCAATGCTGTAACACCTAGTTTTGCGATGCTGTAACCCCTCGTCTTGGGATGCTGTAACCTTTCGGCTTGCGATGCTGTAACCCGTCGTCTTGTGATGCTGTAACCTTTCGGCTTGCGATGCTGTAATACCTCGTTTTACGATGCTGTAACCCCTCGTTTTGCGATGCTGTAACCCCTCGTCTTGGGATGCTGTAACCTTCCGGCTTACGATGCTGTAACCCGTCGTCTTGTGATGCTGTAACCCCCTGGCTTGCAATGCTGGGTTACAGCAAGAGGTACAGAAGTTACAGTCTGGTGATGGGGCTTTAAAGGAGGTTTCGATCAGCCCTTAACCATTACATAATGATTTTAAAGGATGCACATTGGTAGAGAAAAGATACAAGGAACAGCGTTTCGCCCTGCAGAACTAGAACTTTGTACAGAACTTTGCTCCAATTAAAGCTTTGTTTGCAATGAGTGAGACAGATAAATAGATAGATAGAGAGAGAGAGAGAGAGAGAGAGAGAGAGAGAGAGAGAGAGAGAGAGAGAGAGAGAGAGACCATTCTCAGGAATTTAGCGACCAAAAAGGGAGTAGTGCCAACATTAGTGACCAGAAAGGGAGTAGTGCCAACATTAGTGACCAGAAGAGGAGTAGTGCCAACATTAGTGGCCAGAAGGAAAGCAGTGCCACCATTAGTGACCAGAAGAGTGATAATGCCAATATTATTGGTTTTGATAACTACAATGGCACTCTTCCTGTTCCTAACAGAGTATGTGAGCCATGAGATTAATAGTAAAAAATAATGTTACCTTGAGGTGAAGCTGCGTATTGAAAAATTGGGAAAGACTTAGCATATGTGAAGTGCCAATCTTCCTCCACTCCTCCACTTCCTTCTCTCTTTTTCCTTCCCCTCCCTTCCTTTCCTTCTAGCCCTCCTCCTTCTCCTCATCCTTATTTCCCTCAGTATTTAATAAATTACTCTTTGTTAACATTCTTGTACTAAATAGTCACACACACACACACACACACACACACACACACACACACACACACACACACACACACACACACACACACACACACACACACACACACACACACACACGACAAACCACCTGGAGTCTTCGTTTTCTGTACGGTGGAAATACCAGAACGACTTAGAACTGGGAATGATTGCAGTGGATTACTTACTCCTGATGGGGCATGTTAATCTCATTCTCCTGGGTGAAGACGGCCATCAGCGCCGGAAACAACATTAAGAACGTCAAGAAGAAGGTTGTCCGGTGATGCACTAGCGGCAGGGACCACCACCACCTCATTTTATGCCTCATTGTGGTGCTTGAACGTAAGGAAGGACTCTGTGCACAGGTGATACTTGCACCACACTACCACCACAGCACTACCACATACACACGCCAGAGAGAACACGGGGGGGAGGGGCGTTTACTTCAGACCGCTGCGTTCACCATCGCTGTGTTTCTGCATGCAGAGAAGAACGAGAAAAATTGAAAGCCGTTCTTGTGTAATATCACTACACTGCTTCACGTTCCCTGTCAACCTACTGCTTGCACTGCCCTTCAAGACCCCCCCAGGGGATTACGTTTCTGAGCGAGGGGGAGTGAGAGAGAAAGAGAGAGGGAGAGAGAGAGAGAGAGAGAGAGAGAGGGCGGGGCAGAGCTCTAGACAGCAGTCATGGCAGGCAGGTGGGTATGAGTTCCAAGGGAGCTCACCTCAAGCACTGGCAGCCACTGAGAGCTCAACACTGCCAGCCAGCGTCGTCTCTAGCCTCCGATCAATAAAAATAGCTGCGCGGGCACAGCTGCTGCTGCTGCTGCTGCTGCTACTCCCTTTCCATTCCCTCCCCCCACTCTCTCCCCATCCCCCACTCCCCAAACCTCCCCACTCCCCGGGCACTAAGCTCCCCACTCCCTGTGCTGCCGCGATCAATCCTCGAGGTGAGACGCGCGCGCCAGCTTCGAACTTCGCTTGTCTCCTGCCTCTGTGAGGCAGCAGTGGCAACAGCAGCAACAGCAGCAGCAGCAGCAACTGCGGCGCCAGTAGAAGCAGCGGTGATGTCAGTAACTGCAGCAGCAGCAGCAGCAGCAGTAGTAGCAGAAACAGCAGCAAGGACAGCAAATGTGACAGCAGCAGCAGTGGCATTGTTAGTAGAATTAGTAGATACCGCAGCAGCAGCGACCGCAGCAGAGACCGCAGCAGCGAGCACAGCAGAGACCACAGCAGCGACCGCAGCAGAAACCGCAGCAGCGACCGCAGCAGAGACTGCAGCAGCGACCCCAGCAGAGACCCCAGCAGAGACCGCAGCAGCGATCGCAGCAGAGACCACATCAGCAGCGACCGCAGCAGAGACCCCGGTAGCGATCACAGCAGACCGCAGTAGTGGCCTCAGCAGAGACCCCGGCAGCGATCACAGCAGAGACCGCAGCAGCGACCAGAGCAGAGACCCCAGCAGCGACCACAGCAGCAACCCCAAGAGCGATTACAGCAGCGACCACATCAGATACCACAGCAGAGACCGCAGCAGAGACCACATCAGAAAACGCAGCAGAGAACACAGCAGAGACCACACCAGAGACCGCACCAGAGACTTCAGCAGCGACCGCAGCAGAGACTGCAGCAGCGACCGCAGCAGAGACCGCAGCAGCGACCGCAGCAGAGACCGCAGCAGAGACCGCAGCAGCGACCGCAGCAGAGACTGCAGCAGCAACCAGAGCAGAGACCCCCAGCAGCGACCACAACATAGACTGCAGCAGAGACCACAGTAGAGACCACAGCAGTGGCCACACCAGAGACTACATCAGACACCGCAGCAGAGACCAAAGCAGCGACCAGAGGAGAGACCACAGCAGAGACCGCAGCAGAGACCACAGTAGAGACCACAGCAGAGACCGCAGCAGAGACCACAGCAGACACCGCAGCAGAGAACACAGCAGTGACCAAAACAGCCACCACAGCAGAGACCACACCAGAAAACGCAGCAGAGACCACATCAGACACCGCAGTAGAGACCACAGCAGATACCTCAGCATAGACCGCAGCAGCGACCGCAGCAGCGACCGCAGCAGAGACCACAGCAGACACCGCAGCAGAGACCACAGCAGAGAGAACAGCAGTGACCACAACAGCGACTACCGCAGCAACTACAGCATAGACCGCCTCAGTGACCGCACCAGCGACCGCAGCAGAGACCGCAGCAGAGACCGTAGCAGCGGCCGCAGCAGCTACTGCACCAGCGACCGCAGCAGACACCGCAGCAGAGACCACAGCAGACACCGCAGCACATGAAGAGGAACAATCAGCAACAATCATCCGCCGAAGAATCCTGTTGATAATGACTCATGAAGATAACCAGAGACGTGACGATGATCCTCTCTTATCTCTGATTATCTCCCCATTATTCTCCCTCCACTTCCATCTACTTTCCTTCCCTGCCTCTCCTGCTCTAAAACAATAGACTGAGTAGATAAAGACATGCATACTTAAGAAAGTGATATTCCTGTATACCTTTGTATGCATACAATACGTAGAGTATTCTTGTATGTGTGTGAATTTGAAGGGAGAATAGGTATTACCTTTCCAGTTGATGTGTCAGGGGTTTAGCTGACGCTGACTCTGGTTTAGGTGGTGTGTGTAAGAGTTATATCAGTATTTTAAGTGGCGGTTTAACAGCTGTGCTTGCTTTAAAGCGCTGGTTTAGCGGTTTTATCAGTTTTTTGGGCAGTTTATTTTTTTTTCCAGAACAATGTTTTAACAGCTAATGTCAGTGGTTTATACCTCTGTCCAGTTCACAGCTGTGTCAGTTGATCAGTTGATGTCTGAACAGTTGTGTCAGTTGTTCAGCTGATGCTTGTACAGCTGTGTCAGTTGTTCAAATCGAGTCTTCACAGCTAGGTCATTCAATGTCGCCTCAAAAAACATCGAAAGAGACAGATAGATAGATAGAGAGAGAGAGAGAGAGAGAGAGAGAGAGAGAGAGAGAGAGAGAGAGAGAGAGAGAGAGAGAGAGAGAGAGAGAGAGAGAGATTACCTGATGTCTTAACATCTCCGTGTAACAGGTGTCATAGTCACGGTACGAGTCCAGAGTAGGAGCAACAGATACGTTCGTCGTCATTTTTAAGAACTGGCATAGAGACGGCGAGTACTGGAAGAAAGGGGCTGGTGGAGGGAGGGCGGGAAGGAGAGAGAAGTGAGAAAAGGGGTGAGGTA